CGCCGAAACCGCGGCCACGATAAACCCACCGAGATAATTTAGTTTTTTAAAAACTGGACGGTTATTTTTATTGTCAACTTTTTTACCGGGGTTTACCGCTATACCGGTTACCGTGACAACCCTAGGTGGAGCGTTAAAGATTCTGCTGTAATGTCACGCCTGATACAAAAACTTTATTGTCAGTGTTTTTAGATGCTTTTTAATTCCGACCGGACATGGAGACAGAGGTGCAAAAGAAAGGAAGAGAGAAAAGGTAGAGGGATGGGTTGACAAAAACAGTCTATGATGGACAAAAATCTGCTTCTAGACCTGCAGAAAGAGGAAGACAAAAAAAAAGGGACACACAACATACAACAAATCTGCAGCGCTATGTACATATGGACAGTAAGTGTTATATACAAATTATTGCACAGTATTGTTACAGTTCTGCAGCGCCATGTACATATGGACAGTAATATTATGTATATACAATTATTGCACATAGAATTTGGTATAAATAGATAGTGGTGGTCAATGGAGGAAGTGGGACGTTTGTGTGTGTGTGTGGGGGGGAGGGGGCTGTGTTATCGGTGCATGTGTGAGTTCAAGGTGGTTATTGCTTTGAGGAAGAAACAGTTGTTGAGTCTCTGGGTTTTTGTATTAATGCACCTGTAGCGCTTCCCTGAGAAAAGCAGTCTGAACATGTTGAAGCCAGGGTGGGAGCTGTCCTTGATGATGTTTGCTGCCCTACTGAGACAGCGGGAGGAATAAATGTCCATCATGGAGGGGAGAGGACAGCCGATGATCTTCTGTGCTGTCTTTACCACACTCTGAAGCCTCACTCTATCTGCCTTGGTGCAGCTGCCGTACCATACCGCGATGCAGTAGGTTAGCAGGCTCTCATTGGACAAGTGGTAAAAGGTCAGCAGCAGGTCAGAGTTCAGTTTGTACTTCCTGAGGACTCTCAGGAAGTGCAGCCGCTGTTGGGCCTTCTTGATGACCGCTGAGATGTTTTCCACCCAGGAGATGTCAGCAGAGATTAGGACACCAAGGAACCTGAAGGTGTGGACCCTCTCCACACACTCCCCGTTGATGTAGAGGGGGGCCAAGTCGGTGCTGTGTCTCCTGAAGTCGACAATAAGCTCTTTTGTTTTCTTGGTGTTCAGGGACAGGTTGTTTTCTGAACACCATGCTGCCAACTTCAGGACTTCCTCTCTGTACTCTGCCTCGTCTCCCTTGGAAATGAGTCCGACTACCGTGGTGTCATCAGCAAACTTGATGATGAGAGTGTTATTGTGGGTCGGACTGCAGTCGTGGGTGTACAGAGAATACAGGAGGGGTTCTGAAACTCCTGAGCCCTTTTCAGACAGACATTCTAGAACATTTGCGGACAATTCAATCCGGTTTTTAACCGGAACTGTGTTTTCAGACACACCACTTTTGTACCGGAACTTGTCCTTTCGGCTGCGTTCACACAGCAGGGAAAAGTTCCAGATGTCTGACGGCGGCGGGGGGGGGGGGGGGGGGGGGGAATCGGACTTATGTTAAGAAGAAGATTTTAGAAAATATCATTTCTATAGCGCCTCTCACGATAAAAATCACGAGGCGCTTAAGCATTATTCTGCGCACACGAAGATGCATAAGAGACCTGGATGATGAAGCTCAGTGGTTAAAGGAATCACTGAAGCGGTGTGAAGCGCTCCGTCGCACGTCTAGGCGGTACCGTAGGAGGCGAGCTGCCGTGGTTCGCCGCATGCTACAGCAGCGAGCTACCTAGGTGCGCACAGCGTCCCCCGGTCCCCTCCCCCTCCCCCTTGTCCGGAACTTTACCTCACCAGTCTGAAGCAGCCACCCTGTCCATAACATTTCCGGACCTGTTACTAGGGGCTTCGTCCGGATAAATTCCGGAACACGTTATCCGGATGTTTGTATTCAGACACAAAGGTCTTACGGACAGAGTCCGGAACATTTCCGTTTTTCATGGCCTGTCTGAAGGGGGCTCAGGTGTAGACCTTCAAGCAGATGAAGTCGCCCCTCAAATCCCAGTAGCCGTTTATCAATAGAATCTAATAATTCTAATACGTCCTTCCGGGGAGATGAGGCCTCAGGCGAGTCCTGAGGACGGCTCCTCTTGATCCCAGGTGTTTCAGCCAGGAGCAGGTTGAGCAGCTCGTTGCTGAGAACGTGTCTCTGCGGGAGGCCGTTTCTTCCCTGGAAGAGGGAATGATGCGGATCACCCAGGACAACAAAACTCTGAAGGAGACGGTTTTGGACCTTCAGGGCCCGTAGCATGAGGGATAATCTGGTGTTCGCAGGCCTGCCGGAGCAGGCGGGAGAGGCGGAGAACTGCCTGCAAAGAATAAAAAACTTTCTCCAGACCCAAATGAAGATACCCGAAGAAACGGTAAAAAACATCACCTTTCACCGGGTACATCGTCTTGGAGCTAAAAGAGGGGACAGCAGAAGACCTCATCCCATCGTGGCTAAATTTGAACATTTTAAGCAGAAGAATCTTGTTAAAAGTCACGGAAGAGAGCTCAAAGGGAAAGATTTCAGCGTTAATGATCAGTTTCCTAAGGAAATTCTGGATCGGCGCTGAGTCCTCTTTCCGCTGCGCAAAAAGTTTATCCAGGATGGGAAGAGAGCTGTCATCTCGGTGGATAAGCTTTATGTGGACAATAAACTTTACAAGGAGCGAGGAGTGACTGACTAACTGTATTAGCCCAACATCAGGTCAGACATTTATTATTCTTATCAGGATTCACTGGGTTTGATCACGTCAGGATTAAACAGCCGCTAAATCCGTATTCTAGATGATAAGATCACCTGTTCATCACCACTTCACACCCCTACCACCTTTTCTTTTTAGTTCTTTCTTCTTTTTTAACCTGTATCTTTATTTTCCTTTCCTCTTTACCTGCTTCTGCACCTTTACACCTGTATGGCACCACACAACTTTCCAACACTGCGTCAGACTCGACACACACACACACACACACACACACACACACACACACACACACACACACACACACACACAGATATATTAAATTCACAGCACAATATCATAATTTATGCGTCAAATAATACAACCATAAACACTGTTGGATCTTTATTATTATTAGTATTATTATTATTTATAGGGATGTGTATTGGTAAAAATCTGATGATATGATACGTATCACGATACAGGGGAGACGATACGATATATTGCGATACTTAAAGCCCGACGATATTGCCGATTTTTAAGACTGAATTTATTCTAAGAAAATTCTATTGACAGTCCAACTAATACTTAGCATGCTTATTAACATGAGGTATTTGTAGCAAACTGAGGGATCTGCATTTCAATGGAGGAAACAACTAATGAATAGAGAAATTAATCTCTGCCTTATCCAAAGAGGTCATATCAAAAATAAATAAAAAAATGTATTCCCTCAAACACATTTCAGTGAAATGTCAAGTATTTGTAACATGAAAAAAATATGTAAACAATTTCACATTCAGTATTTTTTATTCTAATATCCAATTTTGCAACATCCAAAACAGCACTTTTTATGTCACCTGAAAATACACTAAACAAAAAATAAAGTGCTTGAAAACGTCTTACAGTGAACTGACGAGATAAAGTGCCATTAAAATAAAGTACAGCACTGCAATTTTGACCAGTGGAAGAATATGTGCAACCTGAACAAAATAAATTTACTCTTCTGGCCACATTAATCAGGGTTTCCGCGGGGCATTAAAAAGCATTAAAAGCCATTAAATTAAGTTTTCAAAAATTAAGGCCTTAAATGGCATTAAAAAACATTAAATTAGATTGTCAGTGGCATTAAATTTTCTCAAGAAATATTCTTAAATAATTTTAATTTTTTGTCTTTATTGGGATTTGCTGTGAAATTGTATGATAAGTACGTTTGAGTAAACCTTTATGTCGATGGAGTAAACACGCTGGCGGAACCATTTCGATTACTTCTGTTCCGACTCGTTTCTTGTCGAATTGTTGTAAAACCGGATGTTCGACAATTAGCTGGCGCGCTGGATCGTGAGGAGTAAACGTTTGGAAAATGAGGAAATGCAAATTCCAGCAAAAGTGGTTGGAAATCGACGAATTCAAGGTATGGCTGCAGCCCGTTAATGGTCAAGATGGAGAAGGATTTTGTACTGTTTGTAAAAAAAAATTTAAACTTGGTACAATGGGTGTGAACGCTGTGAAATCGCACATGCAGTCGGACAACCACAAAGCAGCTGTAAAAGGCAGACCGCAGCTAACTGTGACTAGTTACTTTTCTGTAACTAGCAACGCGACGTCTTCTACAACTACCACGACCACAACAAGCAGCACAACTGCAGCTGCGAACCCTGCCGTCGGAACATCAAGCACGCTTCAAAAATCGTTTGGATCGTCTGCGGCGCTTCAGGCAGAGGTGCTGTGGTGTCTGAACACTGCCGTGCAGCACCACTCCTACGCATCCAATGAAGGTGTTTCGGAGTTGTTCCAGGCAATGTTTTCGGATTCTGAAATAGCTAAATCTTTCACCTGTGGAAAGGACAAGACAAGCTACGTTTTAAAGTTCGGACTCGCCCCACCTATAAAAAAAGAACAGATTTCTGCAGCTAACAACGCTGGACCATTTGTGCTGATGTTTGATGAAAGCTTCAACCAGTCCACAAAAAATAAACAACTAGACGTCCATATTCGATTTTGGGAGGCTGGTGCTGTCCAGTCACGTTATCTTGGATCACAGTTTATGGGACATTCAAAGGCTAAAGATTTGCTGCACCATTTCAAAGTAAGTATGTTTGTACTTTTTGTTTATGAAGTGGTATTCCGATGAATTAAAGAGACAAGATGTGTTCATTTTGTTGAGGCTTTTTGCTTTTAGATAAGCTAATTTTGAAATTACTATAAGCAAATTTCAAACCAAACATGTTGGTGTAATGTTTTCAGGTTTTCTTTTTCATATCAAATAATTAAATTTATTTTTTTGTATTCATAGGATTGTGTGCGTCTGCTAGAC